GCCATTGCACTCCGGTTGTGCTGACCCCTGCGAATGCGAATTCCCCAAATGTGGGAATCTCGACTGCATAACTTATGGTAGTGGGGGACTGTGTTCGTGCTCTCCCCTGAATTTTTTGGGGTTAGAGAGTCGGACTCATAACTCAAAGGTTGTGGGTTCGAGTCTCGTACTGGCAGGGATTGTAGGGGGGGGGGGGAATGTACAGCGCTCTCTCCCACCTTCAATACCACGACTGAGGTGCCCTTGAGCAAGGCACCGAACCCCCAACTGCTCCCCGGGTGCCGCAGCAAAAAAAAAAAAAAGGCTGCCCACTGCTCCGGGTATGTGTTCACGGTGTGTGTGTGTGTTCACTGCTGTGTGTGTGCACTTTGGATGGGATAAATGCAGAGCACTAATTCCTAGTATGGGTCACCACCATACTTGGCCACGTCATTTCACTTAAGTTCAAACAATGGAATCCTGATTATTTCGCATCATGAAAAAGAAGCATATAACAGGCCCAGTGCCATTAGTTTTCTTTGTTGTTTTGATTAGTCTTTTAGCGTATTAGCTTTTATTTTCTAGTTGTTTTTAATGCACTTTTTGTGGCTAGATTAGAGTTTCTCTCGAGTAAACGAATCTCACCTAACTCGTGTGGCAGCTCGTGACACAAAACAGCCAGCGACGTCGCCAGTCCTGAACGCCACGACACTGAGAACGCAGCACCCATGGCCAGACCGTCCGCAAAGTTATGAATCCCGTCACCAATGGTGATCATAAACGGCAGCAGACGCTTCTCTGAGAGACATGAGAAAGATACACACTACTGTTCAAAATCAGAAATCACATTATTCAATTACAAAAATCACCTGCAGACGAAACGGAGCGATGAAACTAAAAATAATCCTGCAAAATGAAATGAGATATATATACACACGTGTGTGTGCGTCACCATTTAAATTTTATAATTTCATTTAATACTTTTATATTTTATAATACTTATATAATAATCGTATACAATCTAAATACATATTAATTACATATACAGTGGGGAAAAAAAGTATTTAGTCAGCCACCAATTGTGCAAGTTCTCCCACTTAAAAAGATGAGAGAGGCCTGTAATTTTCATCATAGGTATACCTCAACTATGAGAGACAAAATGAGAAAAAAAAATCCAGAAAATCACATTGTAGGATTTTTAAAGAATTTATTTGCAAATTATGGTGGAAAATAAGTATTGGGTCAATAACAAAATTTAATCTCAATACTTTGTTATATACCCTTTGGTGGCAATGACAGAGGTCAAACGTTTTCTGTAAGTCTTCACAAGGTTGTCACACACTGTTGCTGGTATTTTGGCCCATTCCTCCATGCAGATCTCATATAGAGCAGTAATGTTTTGGGGATGTCGCTGGGCAACATCTCATCTTTTTTCACCTTTTACATTTTTTTTAAATGAGAATCTTGCTTGTCATGAAAATAAACAGCTCTATTCATAAAAACTATAATAGTATCTCAATAATCCTAAAATAACTCTGGTACTTACCATCAGTGTTACATCACCTTTTACAACCTCATAGTGTGTGTAAATGCTACTTTACTAACAGGTCATTTTACTCCCTTAAATGTGTGTCATGTTACATCACAAACATGTCGTTAACTCTAACAGGCGTGTAATTATTTACAGTCATGGCTTAGGTGTGTCTAACGCTGACTCCTGACAGCATTCACTGACCTCGAGTGCTGCTAATCGGCTCCAGGAGGGGCTTCTCGTTGTTTTGCTCATCCACCTAAAATCAGGACAAACTGACAGTGTTACAAAACTGATGATCACAGAGGAAGACTGAGATGAATTCAGTGATATTTCTGCACTGATAAGCTCTGAGTTTGATGGTCAAAAAAAAAGACTAATTATACACAATGCATGATTTATATGCATACTCAGGATTTTTGTCTTGATTGTTCAGTACAAATATCTAAACATATACATACGATTGCAATTGCGAACAAAAAAAATACTGATGTCTGAATTTGATGGTCAAAATAAATCAGACGTTATGGACAAATATTATATACACTGCAAAAAAGAACAATTAAAAAAAAGAGAGAAGTCCACCAATGAAATCCACATTTGTGTGTCTAAACAGGACTAAAGCTAACCTAACCTAGAAAACTAGGTAAAATTGCGTAAATATTAATTCATGAATTAACAATGAACACCAACATTTCTGATTCACGTAGCAATCAAATCTCAGACTATTGTCAGTAAATCCTGCAATGACCTCTTATTTTCAACAATTACTGTCTGGGTTTGTGAAACATGATTTCAACTGACCTCCTCAGGGAACACTAGCTCCGTCCATTTTAGTGTGTCTGTGTAGTGATTTGTAACATAATAACTTCTTCATTCACACAAAGAAGACTTTCTCACCAGCTCGTCCTGTGAGGTGGAGTTGTTGTTTCGCTGTGTTCTCCTGCTCTGGAACATCTGCAGAACTTTGCTGTGGTTATGAGGGTCAGACTCCTGCAGCAAACAGACAACAGAGGTCATTTACAGCAAAGACAGACCCTATCTATATTCGAAAGGATTTTAATAGCATGTATCATTCATCTGATTTGTATGACTTTTTTCAGAGAAATATGGCTTGACAGTATTTTCAGATTTAACTTTTTTGATAAATGTACGGTGTCTGAAGAAATTTGACATCACTCACTCCATCATGATGATGACCATGTCGAGTGATGATGGCGAAGATGGTTTCCATCAGAAAGAAAACATAGATGCCCCCAATGACCACCAGGGGCTTGTAAATATAGTCGAGGTTCTCTTCCTCATGACTGTGTCCTTCTTTATGCGCATGAAGACCTAAGAACTACACAAACACAATCCGTCACAAAGCAATGAAATCTAAAGGAATGGTTCACCCAAAAATGAACATTTGCTTAAAATGTACTCACCCTCAAGCCATCCAAGATATAGGTGAGATTGTTTCTTCATCAGAACAGATTTAGAGTAATTTAGCATTACAGTACTTCACTTGCTC